TAGCCTTAATCCTATATAGCTGCACACACACACACACATGAAGTTAAATGTGTTTCATTTGTGGTAAGTTATTATGTGAAACAGAAACCAAATATAACCTTAGCCAATTGTAAGTATCCAATTAAATGATTATGTGATGTGAGCAGGGATATTTCCCAGCAAGATACCCCAAAGGACCATCACAGTTTAGATGCTGTGTCTCCTAACAGCTCATGTGACAATATTTTTGGAGGAGAAATGATTGGTTTATAGCCTTAACCTAGCTAGTGAATTAACCCCTGGTGGGATTCACTGGGGGATAATGGGGACAAGCGGGGTGTGGCTGGAAGAAGCTGATTTTTGGGGTGTGAATATGGGTGTAGAGTTTGTATCTGCAAGAGGCCATGTCTCTCACTCTGCTTTCTGGTAATGTGAGCCTCTTCCCTCTGTCACACGATTCTGCCATGATGTTCAGTCTCACCTTGGAGGTGCTGTCTCTGGATTGAGGCCGCTGAAATCAAGCCACCCAAATAAATTTTCCTCCTCTGTAGTTGTTGTGGTTGGGTCTTTTAGTCATAGCACCATAAAGCTGACTAAAACAAAGACAGACCGAAGAAACAGAAATGGATTCTCTAATGCCACCCATCAAATCATTCCTTCTACATGTTCCCTGGAAGTGCTCCCCTCACAAGTTATTATGTGAAACAGAAACCAAATATAACCTTAGCCAATTGTAAGTATCCAATTATTCTCATCCAAGCATTCCATCTCTTTCTGTCTCTCCTTCCTCAATCTTAGAATTTTGTATTACTCAGACTCCTGCAATTTTCCTTTGCTTGTGTTCTTCTCCCAGGCTAAAGGCCTTGGAAAGTGCCTGGGGCCAAGGTTTTCTGGGAGATGTGCCCTGGGGAGGTCCCTGATTCTGAAGGAAGGCTCTCCACTTGGTGGCTGCCCTGAAGTCAAGGATACCTGCTCTCCAACCCTGTGTCTTTCTCTCTAAAATCCCAGTTGCCCTCCGCTTCCATCCTCAGTGGCTTTCAGACTTTTCCAAGTCTGATGGGGCACGGTGGCCCATGCCTGTAATCACAGCAACTCAGGAGAATTGAGGAAGGGGGATGGCAAGTTTGAGGCCAGCCTCAGCAACTTAGGGAGGACCTAAGCAATTTAGTGAGAGCCTGTCTCCAAATAAAAACAAAAAAATAAAAAGGGCTGGGGATGTGGCTCAATGGTGGGGCCAATGTGTTTCATCCCCGGTACAAAGAGACAGAAGAAATCTTGCCCGAAGTCTAGAAGACTGATTCCACCCTCCTTGTGTGCTCTTCTTCCCTGAGTGTGCTCAGATTTGCTACAATGTAACTTGATACTTGTGTGAATGTTGGACACATGGTTTCCATGCTGTAGTCTTTGTGGATGACACTACTGTCTTCAAAAAGCTATTTTCTCTCTGGAATTTTCAAAATATTTTTGAAAGTTTTTTTTTTTTCAAATAATTTTGATATGACCAATGATACCTGTAGAAAGGTATTTTCTAGGAATGTTTTTTTCTTAAGTTAGGGATTAAGTACTTTTCTGTTTGACAGTAGAAACAGGAGAGTCACATATGGACAAAATTGAGTCCATGGTGGGGAGCGCATGGACGGAGGCATCCCTGACTCTCACATCTCCCTGACTCTGCGCTCCTGCATGAGCACTGGATTCAAGGAACTCATCTCGAGGAAGAAAATCCCAATAGAATTAAGTGGGTGGAGATTGGGGAAGGTGATCATATACTGCTTTCTGATTGGATGCTCATGAATCAGATGGAGGTGGGGGCGTGGCCAGAGAGGTCCATAAAAGCTTCTGCAGAGCCGGAAGAGAAGCACAAGAGTCTTGTAGCCCAAGGAGACACATCCTGGCCTGCAAAATAAAGCTCAGAGCACCCGCACACCTGGCCAGCTCCCCTAAGTCCCTCACTGGCCTAAGGACCACCAGCATATTTCCTCCTCACCTGTGTGGATTCAGGTACAATGTTGTTCCTGTCTTTTCTCATGAAGCAACTTAGGACTTTGATTTTGCCTCTCAGTGTGGTTTTGCCTTTATGCTTAATATTAGGATTTCCATTTTGGTTTATGTCACTTTCAATTTTCTCTCACTTTTTTTTTTTTTTTTTGGTACCCGGTATTGAACTCAGGAGCACTCAACCACTGAGCTACATCCCCAGCCTTGTTTGGTATTTTATTTAGGGACAGTCTCACTGAGTTGCTTAGCGCCTGATCTTGCTGAGGATGGCTTTGATCCCTTGATCCTCCTCTGTCAATCTCCGGAGCCCCTGGGATTAAATGTGCATGCTAGCACACCCAACTTTTATTCATTTGATTAATTTTTGGTTTTTCATGTTTAAATGGACAATATAATTAATTAATTAATTACCTTGGTGGTATGGTGATTGAACCAAGGGCCTTGTACATGCAAGGTAAGCAATCTAATAACAGAGGCATATCCCCAGGTCACCATTATTAATTTTTATGTGCTGCTAAGGATCAAGCCCAGTTCCAGGCCCAGCCACTTTCTTCACCAAGGACATTGGATTCCTATTTCATTGTAAATGATTGGAATTCTATTTTCTAATGATGGAAATATTTATATTGTGTGCCTATAAATTATACTCTTTTGTCGGGTGTGGAGGCGCACACCTATAATCCTGACAACTCAAGAGGATGAGGAGGCAGGAGGACTAGAGTTCAAAGCCAGCCTCAGCAACACAAAGTGCTACACAAATCAGTAAGACCCTGTCTCCAACTAAAATACAAAATAGGGTTAGGGAAGTGGCTCAGGGGTAGAGTGTCCTAAACTCAGTCGCCAATATCTGCTCCCTAAAAGAGTATACTCTATGGCCCATGTGATTTAGTACTTTTATAATTTGTTTAAACAAATTAAACCAAAAGCTTCAAACTATCTCATGGAACAGTTCACAGACTCTGTTCTGATCTGTTTGTTCTCTTCAACTCTGCCTAAGGTGGCAGAATCTCACATGTGTAACAGATATCCAAGAGACTCTGTTGTAATTTGAAGTGTTTTATAATATGGGCACATGCTTTATAATTGCTCATTATTTTTTTAATTAAAACTAACATCACCATGTGAGGGCAAGTCCATTCCCAGCCATGTAGTTGTTGAATCTGGGCGCCTACAGTTAAGGTCACATGACAGTCCAATTCCACTTTGAGAAAGACAAAATAATAATCAAAGGCTTTCTCCCATAATGGAGAAAGAGTGCTTACAGACTCACCAGTACCCCCTTCCCAGTGGCTGGCAATGGACAGGATAGTGGCCATTTCTCTGGACCATTTTCCAGGTTCCTTCTTCTTTCAGACCCCCCAGGATGTGCATCCAGTCCCCACCCACAGCTGCTGGAGCTTGCAGGGTGCAGCCTGCTGAGCAACAAGTCCAGGACCATCCTGGATCTGGAGGACCTGCCCATAGAGCTCTTCCCACCACTCTTTGTGGAGGCCTTCAGCAGGGGACACACTGAGGTCCTGAAGAAAATGGCGCAGGCCTGTCCCTTCACCTGCCTGCCCCTGGGGACCTTGATGAGGCAGCCACAGCTGGAGATGCTCCGAGTGGCACTGGATGGGCTGGACATGCTGCTTGCCCAGCAGGATCGCCCCAGGTGAGGGGGACCCAGGTGGCCTGGAAGGGAGCACCCTCCGTGCCTGGGAAGGGATGGGTATAGGCAGGGAGAGTGGGTGCTGAAGTGTGCTCCACAGGCTTCCTGTGCTGCCAGCAAGGAGGGGTGGAGAGGCCTTGGCCATGCTGAGCCCCATCTGGGAAAGGCTTCCAGATGTGGAGGTGCTTGTGGCAGCTGTGCTGACCCATGAATGAGGCTGTACCTGCCCCTGCCTCAGTCTGTACAAGTGGGGGCACCAGGCTGGATTGGAGGGAAGTGGGTGGAGAAAAGTGAGACAGAAGGAAGAGGTGGAGCAGGGAGCAGCAGCTGAGAGGGGAAGGAAGGGGCTTCAGAGCTGAGACTCTGCTGTGGTCCCTGCAGGAGGTGGAAACTGCAGGTGCTGGATTTGCAGAATGTTCACCACAACTTCTGGAGGATGTGGTCTGGAGCCGTGGTCAATGCCTGCTCACCAGAGGCCATGAAGAAGAATCAAACATCGAAACATGGTGCAGCAATGGCAGCTAAGCCGCCCTTCAAGATAGTCATAGAGTTGTGCCTCACAGAAGGGTCCCTGGATGAATTCCTGACTCTCTTGTTCCTGTGGGTCACACAGAGAAGGGACAGGCTGCACCTGTGTTGCAAGAGGCTGAAGATCTTAGGGAAACCCACCCGCCACACCAGGAAGGTCCTGAGACTGCTGCAGCTGGACTCTGTCCAGAAGGTGGAAGTGCACTGCACCTGGGCGCCCTCCACCTTGGGTGATTGTGCTCCTTTCTTGGGCCAGATGAGGAACCTGAGGATGCTGCAGGTCTCCCAGGTCCGCTTGCCTGCCCACACCTCCCCAGAGGAGCAAGAGCAGCTTCTCTCCCAGCTCACCTCGCAGTAACTCAGGATGCACTGCCTGCGGAAGTTCTGTGTGGATGCTGTCCTCCTCCTCAAGGGCCATCTAGACCAGGTGCTGAGGTGAGTAAGGGGGGTGAGCATCCTCTGCAGACCAGTTACAGGAAATTGGCACCTACCAGCCACTGACACTCTCATGGTTAATAAGACACTGGAAGGTACATAACCCGTCCTTTTGTTCCTCTTGGATCCTGAAGCTAGATGGCATAATGTGTGTCAGGCCAGAGTCCTAAACCTGGGTCCATTGTCTGGGAAGTGCCACCATGCTGGGAATCCAGTTGGGAGGGACAGGAGCTTGGGATGGGATTGATGTTCCCTTTCTGGGAGGCCAGTCCAGTGAAGGTGGTGGAAAGCAGGGTAGAGAAGAGGGCTTGGAAGGAGGGAAGCCCCACACTAACACCCGTCAACATGGAAACGCTGTGCTCCCCAGCTGGGAGCAGAGGACCTGCCTCTAATACCACCTGGGGAAGGCTGTTCTGAGCTCCAGGTAGTGACCCTGGTGTGAGGGAGAGGAGCAGAGGTGGAAGTCTTGCTGAGGATATAGGGTGTGAGCCTCTCAGAGGGTTAACCCCAGTGGATTTTGTTATATCCTGCCTGATTTTGACCTTCTTACATGACTCCCCATGACCTCCTGTGGCCAGACCTGTGACTTTCTGCTTGGCAGTGAGGAGGGGACACAGAAATGTGGACTCATCTGGTCACAGGAGTGGTGGTGAAAGGCTCACCCTGACATGGGGTGATGTGAATGACCAGATTCTGCAAAAGGCAGCATCCTAAGTGTGGACCATTGTCAGATGACCAGGGTGACTTTGGGTTTGGGCCAATTTGTCTTTCCCCACCTTGACATTGCTCCTCAGAACTAACTGCCTTGTTTCTCCTTAGGCACCTGAAGACCCCCCTGAAGACCCTCTCAATAACCAATTGCCCACTGTCAGATTCTGACTGGAATCATCTTTCCCGATGTCCAAACACCAGACAGCTCAGACACCTGGAACTGACCGATTTCAGTCCAGAGCCCCTCAAAATTCTGCTGGAAAGCACTGTAGCCTCTCTGAAGAGTCTGGACTTGGAAGCTTGCGGGATCACTGACTCCCAGCTCCAGGCCCTCCTGCCTGCCCTGAGCCACTGCTCCCAGCTCAGGGTTTTGAGCTTCCATGAGAACCGCATCTCCATGTCAGCCTTAAGGGACCTGCTGCTCCACACTGCCAGGCTGAGCCAGTTGAGCATAGAGCTGTACCCTGCCCCTCTGGAGAGCTATGATGCCCAGGGTATGATCCACCCAGGGAGATGTTCCCAACTCTGTGCTGAGATCACAGCAATAGTGAGGGACTTAGGCAGCCAAAGGTCCTTGTGTTCTGTAGTGTTCCCTGTCATTGTTGTGGCTACAAGTTCATTCACTGCTCGTGTCCAACAGCTGTCTAGTTGTGTGTGTTTCAAAAGCATACTTCTAGGCAATTGGAGGTATAACCAGGATGTATGGTCACCTTAGAGTGAACTCAGAGCCCACCATTTCAGACACTGCCTGAGGTGTGGATGGGAAAGGAAAGTGCAGCAGGGGGCTCCATTGGAGGGAAGCCCCCGAGGATAGGACCTTCAGGACATGTGTCTTCATAGAGACATACATAGGGACCTGGATTTCTAGAATGGGATTCAGGCTTGATGGGCACAGGAAGAAGCTATTGTGTTTCATGGATGGTCCATAAATAGTAAAAAATGAACGGAATCTCAGGGTTAGTATTCTGATGTCCTCTGTGATGGATTTACCTGGCTTTCTGATGAAACCTTGGGATTCTCCAGGTGCTGATGGAGAAAGACGGCCCTGGGTACTTGGTGAACAATGAGGTTCAGCCCCAGGAAGTCAAGGGATCAAACTGAAATCTGGTCATGATATATGGCTACTCTGTGGCTTAACACGTGCAGGAGCACACAGGTGGCCTGGAACATTGTACGAAGGCACTGAACATGAGCCAAGGCAAGAAAACCTCTTCTCAGGGGAACTCAGTGCCACAGAGACATTCAATGCAGCCCCTTCCTCATGGATCTTCATGTAGACCCAGAAACCTCAGGTCCCGGTCTCTGGATGCGCTGGGCAAGGGCATCTGTGCATATGACAGGCCCCATTGTCCCAGTCCCAGTGCCTGCAAGAGGTGCCCATGCTGTACATTGATCAGAGCTCTGGGTCCCTTGCCTGTCTTCCGCCTAGGTAGTCTGTCCTCAGTTAAACTAGTGGTGCCCATTGAAGGTATCCAAATTACCTTTCAGCAAAATAGTAGAATTATATAGATAGATAACACTTGCGAATATTTCAAAATGAAACTGATTAAATTACAAGCTCTGGTGGGGCGGGGGTTGCACATAACTGACAGACCTTCCCCTAACACTTCCCTCTGCTGAGGACTGGGCTGGTGGGGTTGTGCAGTGACTTTGACCTTAGTTTCCCATCCAAGGATGAGAATGAGGTCCCCCCAGTCTTCATTTGAGGTGTTCTAAAGCTGCCTGTGGACGTGTTTTAATTATGGCTTGAATAACTCTCCACACATAGTGAACTGGAACCCACTTGGATGTGTAAGCAGACTTCAGCTCACTCTTGGAACAGGTAGCAGTGTCTGGGCCAGCACAGGTGGCCTCTCTGTCACCCACAGATTGATCTTTGTGCCTGGCTCCCTCTTTATGGCACTTCCTTTTCTCAGGCTCTAAGACTATGTTGCATGTGTGGGGAGGTGGAAGGTTCTGAACAGCATTCATTCTGCTGGATTCTAGGTTCAAATAAAGCCAAAGCTCTGCATAATGAGATGTGTCATCATTTGTTCTTTTAAGAGTTATCATGACTAAAACGGGACTTGAAGGTATTCTGGTGCCTCCAGACCCCTTGAACACTGGAAGGGTTGTGAGGGCTCTTTGTTTTCCCAGAGCCCTGGGGTTAAAGCACCCAGACTGCTCTTTGAGCTCCTCATCTTTTGACTCTAGGTTCATTTGTGCTGTGAGAGAGCACATGACTGTAGGATGTCATGAAAAACAGGACCAGGTTTGTAAGGGTGGCCATGTCAGGCAGTGGGGACTGGGTTTCACTCCTTGGCTACTGAAAGATGCAGATCCTTTGCATCCAAAGACTCTACAGCCCCTTCTGAACACTGGCCAATTTCACCTCCACAATCTAGGAGACCCATGCTTTTCTGGAGAAATGAGTGAACTTCATCAAAGGTAACTCAGGGATCTGGGGTCATCGGTCAGTGGTAGAGCACTTGCTAGCATGTGGAAGGGCCTGGGTTCCATGCAAGGCATCACAGAAATATGTAAACAAATAAATAAATCCCAAAATGATATGACCACATCGGGAAGGTTCAATTGGAATAAAGGTGTCTATCTGGTAGAAATATTTGAAAAGAAAGAACCAGAACCCACATGAAAATAATGGAATGCATTCTTTAATTGGTCTGGACAGGTGTGTCAAATAGATGTACTGAAAGGTTCTCTTCCAAAAACAACTGCAAAGGCTGGCTTGGTGGTGCTCAGCTGTAGTCCCAGCAGCCCAGGAGGCTGAGGCAGGAGGATGGTGAGTTCAAATCCAGCCTCAGCAATTTAGTGAGGTTGTAAGCAAGTTTGTGAGACCCTGTTTCAAATCCAATCTGGGGATGGGGCTCAATGGTGTGGCACCCTTGGGTTCACTGCCTTGTCCCCAAAACAATAACAAACAAGTATGAAAAGCCGGTTGCAGTGGCACATGCCTGGGATCCCAGCTACTCGAGAAGCTTTTTTTTTTTTTTTTTAATTTTTTTTAATATTTATTTTTTAGTTCTCGGCAGACACAACATCTTTGTTTGTATGTGGTGCTGAGGATCGAACCCGGGCCGCACGCATGCCAGGCGAGCGCTCTACCGCTTGAGCCACATCCCCAGGCCCTCGAGAAGCTTTATGATTTTCTTCCTTCTCCCAATTTTACTAACTGGGGCATGACCCATCCTTATTTTTTTTCCAGTCCCTTAGATGCAACATTAGGCCATTTATTTGAGATCTATTTTCCTAATGTAGGTATTTCTTGCTGGAAACTTTCCAATTAGAATTGCTTTTGCTGTGTCCACAGGTTTGAATATCTTGTGTGGCCCTGTTCATTGGTCTGCAGGCATTTTACACTTTCTTTTTTTATTTTTATGTATTTTTCATTTCATACATACATGAAAATATTTTGATTTCTTCAATGACCCATTGGTTGTTGGGGAACACGCTGAAGAATTCCCATGCTTTGTAACTGTCCAGGTGTTCCCCCTGCTATGGATTCCATTCTTATTAAATTTATGGAGATTTATTTTGAGAATAAATGGAGAATGTGTTGTGTGCTGTTGAGAAGGATGTTTGCTCTGCAGTGTTGGGTGGGATGCTCTGTAAATGTCTACTGTGTGCAGAGATGATCTGTCCAGTGCTGAAAAGGGGAGTTGAAGCCCCCTCTGTTATTACTGTGTTGTTGTCAACTTCTTCTTTTACATTCCAGTAATATCTGTTTTGCACATGTGGGTGCTCAGGTGTTGGGTACATGTATGTGTACAATTGCTGTCTCATGTTGCTGAATTGACCCTTGATCATCATGTGATCCCCTTGTCTCTTTCTATTGTGTTTTAATCTCTAGTCTGTTTTATCTGACAGGAGTCTAGCCATTCCTGCTCTAGGTTGGTTCCTTTGTGTGGAATATCTTTTCCATCCCTTCACTGTCACTCTGTGTGTGTCCTGAAGTGAATGACTTTTTTGTAGACAGCAGGTAACTGAGTCCATTGAAAAAGAAAATCTATTCAGTCACTTTACATCTTGTAATTGGGGAGTTTATTCCCTTTAAATTCAAGGGTTTTTATTGAAAGATACAGCATTATTTCTGACAGGTGTTGTTTGTTTTTAGTTTCTTTTTCTGATTTCTCTTTAGTTCTTTTTCTCTCTTTTCCTCCCTACTCTCTAGTCTGTTTCTGTGGGTTGGTGTTTTCTTCTAGGATAAGTTTGCAATTCCGTCTTTGTCCTTTGTGAACATGCTGTCACTTTTGGTTTTTCCTTTGGGCTTCCTCTGGAATTTGGAAAATTTTTATAGGTACCAAAGAGCATTTTAAGCTGAACAGAACCTCCCTCTGCTCTGATACCAGTACTCTGAATTCCATCTTTTTCCTTGTAACTTGTGCTTTGGTTGCCTTGGTTTCCTTCTCCTGGTTTCCTGCATTCCTTAACCTCTTACTGTGGCCATGCTTAACACTCACCATTTTCTTTTTAACTTTCCTATTAGTTATTTGAAAGTTCAAATATCCCTGTTATGTAAGCCAGGCACACTGCTGTATGCATGTAATCCCTCAGGAAACTGAGGCAGGAGGATTGCAAATTGAAAGCTATCCTCAGCAACTTAGCAAGGCCCTAAAAAACTTAGTGAGACCTTGTCTCAAAATAAAATATAAAAAGGGCTGACTTCCCATTAGATCCAACACCTTCAGGAGCCTGTACTCTCACCTATGGCCTGCACTGGCAAGATATGCTGTGTTCCCTTCCTGCAGATAGCTGGCTGTGAGATACAGCAAAAAATCACACAGCACAGAAATAATTTTTAAATGCAAGTGCGGGCCAGCTCTGAGATATTAAGAGTGCTGCTTTCACACTGAAGGAGAGAGTGAGTGTGTGTTTTTATCTTTCTTGGGGGATAAACAAAGGCTTTTCCATAGAACGTGATTCACCAAATAAACCAACGGGTGGGCTGTCCCAGCCTGACCGGTAACACCCAACCCCAGAGCTACAGAGCAGTCTCTACATCTCCATCACCAGTGAGGGAGGCCAGCAGGACACATTAGGGATAATAGAATAGGTTAGAGATGGTGCATATATACAGATATAGATAGGTAACATGTGTTAATTTTTGTTGGAAGCTGAGGTGTAGTTTAGTTGGCCTCTGAATGAAAGCCCTTCCTGTGTCAAGGAATTCCCCACCCAACATGGGAGTCTCCAAGTGAGGCAGGGTCCTCCATTACTTGATAGGAATAAAAAAGTCAATTCTATTTTTCTGCCTCCTGATGTGGTTTGGGGTTAATGCCTAAGGTGTGGCCTGTGCCCCAAATGTGCTATGTCACCTGGCAGCAGGTCCTAATCAGGGTGTCTGTGGGGGGTCCAAGCTGTGGTCCAGGCTGGCTGTAGTGATGTCCTTAACCTAAGAATGGCCTCAGCCTATGTAATTCCAGTTGAAAATGAACCTGGAGGTCCACCAGGTACAACCTCCAGAGCCCTCTAGTATGAATCAGGCACAGCCTGATAAAGACAAGTCTCTTTTCACAACCCAGTTAAAACTCAGAGTGAAGTCACGGTCATTTGCCTTCACCCTAGTGGGTGTCAGAGGGGACAGGTCATGACCTCAGAATGTAAGACATCACTAAGAAACAAGGTAATACCAGATAGGGACTGAAAGGGTGAGCAGAGCCCCAATATTTAGTAGAAATGATGGAGCAAGTGAACAGACATTCAGCCAGCTGCACTCATGGCCACATGCTGGAGAGCCCAATGAGGTCCAGCACTGATGTCCCACCTCTTCTCATCATCTGCCTGATCCTCTGCATTGTCCTCACCGTGCTCAAACTCTACAGCCACATCTCGACCCTGGTGAGAATGGCGACTTCCTCTTAAGACTGTCTCCTCAATCAGCTGTCACATCCAGCCCAGGAAAAGCCTCCATGGGTTCCTGACCTGATCACTGCGGTCTGAGTGAGTGAGAATCCGCTGGACTTCAATCCTTAGACCTGACACTCTAAACCTGGCACTCGAGCTGAGCATGCAGAGGGAATGTCTGTAATGAGTCTGGCATGATTAAGTGTTTGCTGTGCTCATACTTAACTTAGAATTTTTAGTTTTGAATTGATTATGTGTAT